ATAGACTGATCACCTATCGATCTTTCTTCCCGTCACCGAGCGCAACCCCGACGTACCCCTTTCCCCGCCGGCTTCGAATTGCAGACGGATTAACTGGCTTGGGCCCCGCCAGCTGGAACAACTAGTGTGGTTGTTCCGACGACCGGACCACCTGCGTCGTGATAGCAAGCGGCGTGAGTAAAGTTTTTTACAACCAATAAGTTGTGTCTGCCTCTCCATTCACCAGCCTGCCCTGACGTACGAGCGTAACTCGAGTCGGCCCTGGCCGTCCGAGACACCTACCTTGGCCAATGGGAGAGTGAACATGAGCTCTATTTCTTAACAGTCCAATCTACGCCGCTTAGAAAAACCTGTGTAGATTGGATCAATTCCACCTTGGGCCTTTTGACTGTCTGTATTTAGCCATACTCTCCAAGCCAAGCACCAGGGAAAAAAACAGTTGGTTGCTCAAGTTTCCCTGCAGCTCTGTAGGAAAGGCCAAAATCCCATTGTATGAAAAGGAAAACAACAGGCTTGCTAGGAGTGGGAACAGGTATGAAGAGGAGGGGGAGAGAGGGAGAGAGAGAGAGTGTAAGCCCTAGTAGAAAAGTTACTGCTGTTTTTCTCTGAAAGCACAGGGCTGAAGTTCTTCTCAGATAACTTGCCTTTGACTTCTACGATGACTTACTGAAAGTGGTAATCATTGCATTATAAGGCTGATGTGAATATGTATCTAAGGGTTGGTCAGTTTGGGTAGTGTTTCCATCAAAGCAGCCAATGCCAGTGTCCCAGGCTCCTGCTCAGCAACTAACTGAATACCACAATAAGCAGCCTCAAATGCCTGAGCCTCTAACGGGCATAAGCCTTTGCCAGGTGGATCAGACTTGTCAGGCTTCCAGTTCCCAGGAGACACCTGACCCTTCACCATGAGAAAACTGACTGTGATGTTCCAAAGCCTTAAGCCTCTGTGTTTTCTATGTCTACACTAATAAAACCTGTTAGACTTCTAGATTATCCAACATTTGGTGCATGTATGTGCCCGCACATACACTGCATATGCAGGGATACTCTGAGGACCAGATTATAGCAGTGGGAGAAGGAGCTCACAACAGCTGTGGTGGGAAAGTTCTGTCCTGGTTTATCTCAAAGCCAGTCCTTCCAGTCAGTACCTGTGATGGGGTGAGATTATTGCCTGTGTGCACTTTCCTTTCGTGTACTTAATCCTTATCATTGCTTCTCAATGATATATTCTGCAGAGATGAAGGCTCTTGCACTTCTGCCCCTGTTTGGCTGCTTAATCATGTCCAATGAAGCCAAAGTGTTTAGCCGATGTGAACTAGCCTACAAGCTACAAGAAGCTGGAATGGATGGGTATGAGGGGTACAGCCTCGCCAACTGTGAGTTTCAGTGCTCTCCCATCCCACACTTCTTTACCTTCTCTCTGATTTTATGTTCCGGTGCCCAAACTTCCTCCCTTCAAATCTTCAGGACACTCCTTTCCCTTTGCCATTTTTCATATTCCCCCTATTGACAGACCATCTCCCACCTCTGTGTCTTTCCTCATCTTTTTCCTGGGTTTTGCCCTCACACATTCCCTCATGTTGCCCCTCTTTCTCTCTCTCTAAAGACAGCCCCTGATGTGGGCACTGATCATGTTCTGACCTTGTGCCAGGGATCTGCATGGCGTTCTTTGAGAGTGGATTCAACACAGCAGCAGAGGATGACAATGCAGATGGCAGCACTGACTATGGCATCTTCCAGATCAACAGCCGTGTGTGGTGCAACAATCACCGAAGCCCCACTGAGAACCTCTGCTACATGCCTTGCACTGGTGCTGTATAAATCTCCACATGGTGCCACTCTGGGTGTGGGGTAGGAAGCCCTTAACTGGGAGGGTTTAGGGTGAAGGGTATGGGTGGGAAAACACATCCTTCTCTTCAGTGGCCTTGTGGTGAAGGGAAGGACAATAGCCTTGGGCTGTATCATGTAGATGCTCTTTTAAGATGGGGAAACTCCCAGAACAGCCCCCAGAAAGAGTTTTCCTGGGGAGCCACACTGCAAGGGATAGGATGGGGATGGAAGGTTTAGAGCCAGAACAGAATCTAAGCATAGTATGAGATACAGGGATATGCAAGCCATATCATGAAGTAAAATCATTGTGCCTTTCACCCAACAGTGTTAAAGAATTTCACAGATTTGAATTAATTCAGTCTCCCAGCTCATCTGGAGGAACAGCATTAATACCCCAATTACATGGAAAGTTTAATTATATTACAATTACAGGTACTCCTTACTTAACGTCGTCCCAGCTAACGTTATTACGTTGTTGATCTATTAGAGCACATACTCATTTAAAGTTGTGCAATGTTCGGTTATAACAGTGTTTGGCCACTGCCTGTTAGCAGGTAACTACTGTAACGTAACTGGATTTCCTTAACATTGTTTCGTTTAAAGTCGCATTTTTCAAGAACATAACTATGACATTAAGCGAGGAGTAGCTGTAACTTGACTCTCTCAGCCATTTCCCCTCCTACCCACACACTTGCTTGTTCCAGCTACTACACCAGAAACTGCCTCCACTGGAAAGTAGCAGGGTCAGGCGACCTGAGGCAGGATACGGCTGGATATACTCCCAGCTCTTGTGCATACTGAAAGGATTCTCTTCCTGGCCTCTCTGGATAGGCAGGAGCCCTACACTTTCTCAGCCCCCCATCAGTGCTGCTTCTGACTCTTCTCTCTGTATGGACTGACAGGTAGAGTGAGGGCAGATGTAATCCCTATCAAGTCAGCAGCTCCTCCCCCTCAAGATCCAGGCACACAGTCTCTCTTACTGTAGACACTGTCCCCATACCTACTCTTGCCTATGTTCAAAGGCCTTCAACAGCTCTTTCTTGTAATGATCTCTGCCCATTCAGACTAGCTTCACATTCCCTGCTCCTCCCTGACCTCTCTCTCCTCACCACTTCATTCTCCCTCTTCCACATGTTGTCCCTCTCAGCCCATCCCTATCCTGCTACTTCCTCCCCTTCTCTCAGTCTCTCTTCTCTCTCCAATTATCCTATCTCTTGCTTTGTACACATGAATGGTGGATGGAGGCCATAGCCGACCTCTCCATACCTAGTCTGTAGATCATTCTTCTGCATGCACAAGAGGAACAGAGGATTCTACCTGCCAAAAGTCAGACAACATAGGGGCTATTGCTGATCTGGAGTCTCTTGATTCTCTCTGCTCTGATACTACAGCAGGGATACCAAGCCCCTGCTTAGCACTACTGGGAGAGCACTGTGTAGGTCAGCCAATAGGGCACACAGCTGGGCAGGGAGTTTTGCTCTGGACTCACATGTATGATACCTTTGAATCTCCCAAAATAAACACCCGCTCGCACTCTTTGCAGATTTGTTGTCAAGCGACATAACTGATGACATCATCTGTGCCAAAAGAATTGTGAAAGACCCAAAAGGAATGGATGCCTGGTAAGGGGAATTCTGGGAAGGGGACAGAGGAAAATTGTCAGGTACATATATCTGTGTGCTCACCAGAAGTCCCACAACTGTTTGTACCAAAATAATGGTTTTATCCCTAGTATCCTGACTTAGTTCCTGTTTGAAGAACAACATTTTACCTTCAGATAAGCAGGAAGGGCATGCTTCATGGCAGTCCTTCTGGAATGGGGGTGGTATGGACATGCCCACAGAGAGACAGTCCCTGGGCAAGGCAGGCAAAAGAAGTATTATTATATCCATTTTACAGATTGGGCACTGATCACTCTCTGCAGGTAGTTCCTCAAGGACACACAGTAAGTCTCTGACTGAAGCTAAACTAGTCTTGGTCTAGTGCCTGCAGTTTCAACTGGACCCATTATCTTTCTGCATTTCCTGTGGTGCAGTACCACTGTGCATGTCACCAGAGAGGCATTTAAGAGGAGTCACGGTAATACCAAGATACTACAGACACTGTACATTACTTTGCCATGCTGCCAGTTATGCCTCTGATGAAGCACATTCTACCACCCTTACCTGGAGTAATATATTACTGTTTAGGTTTTTCATCTAAGGGGGGCTACTTAATGGTAGATATTTGGTATGAGTAAGGGTAGCAGAATCTGGCTTTAAGATTCTGAATCTAGGCCTGATGTTAGAAAGACTTTGTGACAACGGTACACAGCATCAACTGAGTTCCTCAACCCCTAGATGGATAAATGAATCATACAGTTTAAGAAGTGTACAGTCCATCCATGGTAACCATTTTATGTGTCCACACTATCTCCCTGTAAATGAAGTCACAATTGGGCAGTTTACTCCCAGATGATAAAACTAGTTGAAGTATCACAGAATAGTTTCCCACTTCCAACTCATATGAAACAATTATCACAAATCAGTTAATGAGTGCTGCACTCCCCCCTAACCCCCTTCCCCTGCGCTTGGCCCACCCCACACACACACACACTTTTAACTCAGTTTAATTTTCTGTTCATGTCAAACATCCTAAACCAAGAATCCTTTCCTGGGGTTTACTTTGTTAGATTCCTGCCTGTTCCTCATTTTGACAGACTACTGAAAAGTATCTGATTATGAAATATGAATAAAATAGTAATAATATAACTACATTTCTTCTCTTTGCTTTCTTCTTCTTCAGGGAGGACTGGACAATGCATTGCAAGGGGCGAGACCTGTCTGAGTGGGTGGATGGATGCGACCTGTGAAAGAAAAAGTCATCAGCTTGGATCTGCTATGACTAATCAGGGCTGTCTATGTTTTCCTGAAAAGGGAATGTCTGTCTTTCTGTGAATCACTTCTGGCAGTTCATATTTACAAACAAAATCCACTTTACAAACCAGAAATGAAAAAAAATAAAATTGACCTAAAAGATTTTTTAAAAAAACAAAATAGAAGTATTAATTTTTTTAAAATTCAAACTCAGCTTTTTGTCTTCAGATCAGACTTAGTATATATAACACTCAAAAGATTTTTCCCAGCTCAGCTGTGAGAGTCTCTGAAGATGTAGCTGATAGGCGAGGCTGTGGATGAAGCAAATTATTTTGGGCAGATGGGTTCTTTGGAGTTCTCACAGAAAGTCAGTTGGGAAGCCGAAAGGGAAGGTGTGCAAGCCTGGTCACATAACAAACAAATTATATTTACAAGTATAACAAATGGTAAAAAAAAATATGGTATGTTCTTAACGGGAGCTGTGCAAGACCCCCAAATATTTTTATAAACTATTTATGAAAGTCCAAATGCTGCACAATTCAATAGTCATGATTATACATGCTTGCATTTGAAATATACAAAAAACACACTGCACATTGAATCAATTTTCAAGTAATTAAAAAGAAAAATGTTAATCTGGTCTACTATTTAGAAGAATTCAACTATGAAGCAAGCACTGCAGATTCCACAGCCACCCCATGTAGGACAGCAATGCCTCAAATTGGCTCCAGGTGAGCCATATAAGGTATTTTGTGCTAGTTGTTGCAGAGTCGTATACAATATTTTATTCTAGTTGTGCTAGCAAGTTCCACTGATCCTAAGTAATTGTATTGTGTCCTGATTCTAATGGAAGCCAACAGGAGTTTTGCTATTGGTGCCCCTAGCATATTAGTAAAGCTTCTAGTATATTTGTAACTGTAGAGAAAAGTGTTGTTTCATATGTGATGATGTACCTCACCATCTGCAACCCCCTTTTAAAAATTATAGATCCACCCATGTTAAGAGCCTTACAATTTTTACAGAAAGACCAGGGTTAAAGAGTAAGTGTCACAGCTGGCTGCATCCATATGTAAGAATTGGCTGCACCTGGTTATTTACTTTAAACTTTTTAGAAAATGCTTAATTACCACAAAGTAGTTTTCACTATGAGGCGGGTGAAAAAATTAGAACAACCATCCTGCTATACAGGATTCGGTCTAAAGGAAAATCTCAGCTTCAAACAACCCCAAACTTCAGAGGCTTTGAAATCCAACCCCAGATCCAAATCTGAAAGCCTGGGGCTGAAACTTAGATATTTAATGAGAATCATTTCACAATAGACCCTTCTTGTAAAACAAGCTCCAGATCCTAATCCACATGAATTTAGCATGTGGGAGATCCAAATACTGCATCCAAACTTTGGAAGAGACAGATTTCCATCTCACTAGGCACAGTACACTGGCTTAAGCACCATATTCTCCGATATGATTTGCTTTGCAGACCTTGGTTGCATATTTTGCACATGTTCTGAAGACATATGAAACTATATAATACCCGAGTGTTGCACAGTAGTTCTAAGGCTGAAGCAGATGTTGAAAAATGACAGAATTCTGTGAACTTTCTGATGTCATCAAGTGCAGCTGTCTCAAAAGACATGTAAAAAAATCTCCTCTTCTGATAATCTGTACAGCTAGATAGATACCCCTTTTATTGTATTTTTATAGAGTAATGGGGACACTGAGTGATTCCTTTGGGTAATGAGTGACTGAGTGATTGATCTGCCCATCCCCTTTAGGTATGTAAGGGAAAACTAGTCTGATTCACTTTTACTTGGAATTGGAGTAAAGAACTCACTTTCAACCTTAGCCATCTGTAATCTCAAAGGACCTACAGAATGCATTTTCCTTGTTTTCTGTGTTGAAACCACATTTTCCATTCACTTCTATGGCAAACACTTGCTAGGTTTTCAATCCGATTAACAGGTTTCCATAGCATTTCAAAACCTGTAAACCTTCTGATGACATGAGTCTTCTAGGTAGCTTGGCAAGCACTAATGTTTGAGCTACCTAACTACTAAAAGACCTTGCCAGCACACTTGGACAACAGGAGCCATGAGGTCATCTACAGACACATTTTAGGGAGGCATGAAATCTCCTACCAAGACGAATTACATAGAGGGCCTGATTCTGTTCCCCAGTGAAATCAAATAAAGCTTTGCCACTGACATCAATAGAAACGGGACTGACCCTGAACGGTATGTCATCACACAGCAGCACATGGCTTCAGTGCACTTCAGAATTTCCATTATCCACCCCATCCTTCAGAATTTTATAACTTGGACACAAATATTCACTTGGCAAACATCTCAGCCTACAAGCAAATTAGGGGATTTGTTTTTAACATTTTTTCCACACACAAAGTCATCTTGGACGTGTCTAAGTTGAGGGCTGCTATATATAGATGTTTACCAGTTTCACAGGATTTCTTGCACTATCTTAACTTTAAAAAATGATTTCATCCCCTTTTAAAGGGAAACTGCAACATAAATTAATGGATCTCCTAAACACTACATCTAATTACACAGTGTTTTAAGTCACTAACAAACGGAACAATGAACAGGCAGGAAGCTACTGCAATAGGGTGTTCACTCCTGCTACTTTAACTCTTACAAATAAAACTGGTGGAAATTAGTGGGACAGTTTGGCTGCATCACAAATTGCAGGATTGATTCCAGGAAGTGCCTCTCCCATGTACAGAGCTGCAGCAAGATTCTTGCAAAGATGTTGCTGCGAGTTAACTGAATGGATCTGGTGAAGTTGTTCAACACTATCATCCTTTCTGAACCTCAGCATTTGGGTAAGATTTAAGGCCTGGGTGTCTGTTTCTGTTAGGAAGAGAAATTGATAATGAAGTCATGTACTTCTTTAATGCAATACTATTTATGAAGGGTATGCAAAGTCCTGCCTTCCTGAATACAGAAGAATCATGAGATGGATCTGGGAGCAAAGTCTCTTCTCAGCCCATACTCTGTCCAAGAAGCTCACTCTTGGCTACTTTTTATGGCCACATGCCCAGTCCTTATTTGATGGTCTCCTTGGCCCATCTGTTTCTTTGGTGTTTCTCTCTCAGACACGAATGCACACACACCATACTCAGCTCCATCAAGCAATACTCCAGCCCTTGTATGTGCTAAGTCAGGCTCAGGATTGCCAACTATCTGGTAAAAAAAAAAGGCTAAAAAGGCATGTCCATAAAAAAACTAACAGTGTTACACATTACCTTTAAGATGTGTTAAGGGCTCTTAAAGCAGGAGTGTCCATACACTAGAGCAGGCTGACACAAGTTAAATGCCCACTAGGTGCCTCCGACATAGTCCTCTTCCAGAGAGGACTACTTGTAGCGCATCTTGGGTAGCTTGTGTTGCAGTTATGATACACTACTCCATAGGGCCAACACAAGTTAGGAAAAGTCCTTTAGCATCCCAGGAGGAACCGCCTCCACCCATTCCCAGGTAGATACTCTTTCTTTCTCCAGAGTGACAGTGGTAAGAATGCCCACCCACTCCCCTCTGCTCCCATTACACCCCCTCACCCCTGGGGCTCCCCCCATTCCCCTGTCCCTTAGGGCTTCCTCGCCTGCCCCCCCTCAGCCCTCATGGCTAACCCCTCCCCACATGACTTCCACCTCCCAGCATCTGTGGCTGCTAGCACTGTTCTGGGGGAGCAGGCAGGGAAGGGGAACCCACCTACCTGCTGCCACTGTTGCCAGTACTCTCCATTGTAGAAGGTAGGTTCCCCTTCCCCGCCCACTCCCCCAGGACAGTACTGGCAGCCATAGGTAAGTAGGGAGCTGCTGGCGGGGAGGTAGTGAGGTGGGATCTAGGGTGAGCAGGGATCAATCCAGGGCAACAGATGCAGTCCACAAGGTTTAGATGTTAGGGTCGGAAGGGACCTCAATAGAACATCACAAGGGTAGGTGTGATCCAGGCCAGCGGGTCCCAGTCTAGGTAGGCAGGTGCTGGCGGGCCTGATGCAGGCCGTCAAGGGCTGGCAGGCTCCTGATCTGAGCCACAGACCCCATTCCTGGGACATACCCTGCACCAGAAAGCAGGCGAGCTGGGTATGCGCAGAGGCAGCTTGGCAGCTCTGGCTCGTATCCCTGCTCACTAGCTTTCCAAGGGCAGTTCAGAGCAGCGCACATTACAGAGGGTGTTAACCCTTAACGTGAGACCAATGACAGTGTAGCAGGCTTGCCTTTTGGAGCTTGGGTTGAGTCCCAGGCTTGAAATCTTGCTGTTTTGATTGGTGGAGCCCATCCACCAATCAGGAGGCAGCAAGAGCAGTTAAGTCACGCCCCTTTCCTGAGGGGAGGGGGAGAGGAGTTTTCCCTCCCCCCCACTCCGGACCTGATTGAAGACTGCAACACTCAGGTCCAGAAGACTTCAGGGGTGAAGCCCTGGAGAGTATAAAAGGAGCTGGTGCCCAGCATGAGGGGAACACATCCTGGACAGAGAAGAGAGAAGAGTGGGGCTTAGAAGAGCTGAGGAGAGCTGCCCAGCAGAGCGAAGCAGTAGCCCAGAAGTGCCCCTAAAGACTTCCATCAGTGGGAAATGGCGGACGGCTCCAGCAGCTAGGCTCTCTGTGTGCAGCATGGCGCACGGACCCTGGGAGCTGCGTGAGGCAGTGCGGGTCTGCAACCTCTGGCATGTGGCCAGAGATACAGTGCACAGGCCGGTGCACGGAGTAGGACCTATGGAGCGCTTGGGTGGCTCAGGCCCTCAACCCCCACGTCGAGGCTGGGATCTCGGTGCAGGAGGCACTGCATGGAGGGTCCGGGAGCAGACCAAGCTGGTGCTGCACGAGGCAGCCCAGGCCTCTGACCCATAAAAAAAGGTTAAGTCCAGGGAGCCAGATGGTGCTTGGGCTACTGAGCCAGCAGACAGGGCTGAGCCAGAGGCCCCAGAAGCCCTGCATGGAGGAGCCCTGTTCCAGGGGACAACGACTCTCCCGAAGCCCACTGCAGGCGAGAGAGCAGCTTGGTGCAGAGGACGAGGGCCACCTTTCAGGCCTGGGAGTCGTGAGTTGCAGGGAAAAGAGGATTCCCACAGGGGAGGGGGAGTCCCCCCTGGTTAAATAAGGGCTCCTTT